AAATCTTTGCCTGACTTTTTGACTTTTGCGCATCTTAAATCTTTCTGTGTATTTATATACGACAGAATTCACTGAAAAAGTTGAATATACCGTAAAACAAACCCAACTTGTAAACAGTAACACCATTCACGCACTTGACCTGTGTCTCTGAAAATAAACCTTGACGTACATGAATAATAACAATATCAATTTTTAATTGACACAAAGGGTTGTAAAATAGTTTTTTTTTGTTTTTTTGTTTTTTTTGTTATACATTTCATTTTGTCCACCTTCGAATAAGAGGTTAGACTCGCTGAGTGAACATCGTAGAATGGTTTTAGTTCATGGAGAATAAAATTCTAAATATTGATACAGTTCAGATAACGGCCTGTTATAAGTGTTAAGCCCATATATACGCAGTAATAACTTTCTAAAATTTGTTTAGTAACTGAAGCAAATAGTTTTTTAATCCTTTGTCGAGAAAGGTATAAACATGAAGATGCTATTTTTCAAGTATTAAATGAATGTTTAACAATGTCAATATAAACATTAATGCTAAGTATTAATTAATATAGATTAAAGTGGATATATGAATATATGTTGCTATTTTGATCATAAAGAAAAATATTTTACTTGAAGATATCAAGGTGAGATTTGCAATACAATGAACACTATCGCAATAATAATAATAATAATAAGCCTGAAGAATTAGTATCAGGCTTATTTGGTGTTTCTCTACAAAATAAACAAAAACTTTAGTAATAATTTGATGAGATAATAAAAAAAGAAAAGTATATTATAAAATATTGGATGCCAACTTAAAAGTGTCAGTTAGAAATCTGAAACTGAATCATGGTTGCAACTTTATCCCTGTCATTGATCAAAACTGATTTCTAAATGAGTTCAGAAACATCTTCTGGAAAGATTTACCTTGGCTTCGCAGATTGCCTTTCTGAATCAAATTGAAAACCAAGCAATCGGCAATAGCTTAACGATTACGCATATAAAGTATGGCAAAATATTCCCGAAGATGTTTCTGCTAATTTTGTAAAAAAAACTATCGAAAAAAGAACAGAAAAATTTATAGCATAAAAAGCACTTACATTTGATTATTACTTGCTCCGTGACATTAATTTAGGGTATAAAATTAAGATTTCGTTTGCTTAAAATGATTCAAAATCTACCTACATATAAAATTCTGTGATTTCCGTCAGTCTGTCCATGCATCGCACCCTCTAAAATAGCCATACATTGACCGATCGAAACTAAATTTTCGGGAGAAGTGCAAACAAGTAAGGGGGTACAAATTAAACTTGGTTTTACTGAGGTGCTTATGTGAGTACAATAATTTTTCATTTTTTTTTTTTTTGAAAAATTAAGTTTTATTATTTAACATATAAAATACTCCCACTATTTAAAAAAACAATTTAATGATTAAAATAACAAATAAATATTTAATAAAAATGCAACATTGTTTTTTGCGTATCTTTTCTTTAATCTTTTTATATTTCATCGAATGTTTTGCAAAATTGAATGAAACGTAGAGTTTGTAAATCTCGACAAAAAAGATAGCGATAACTTCAACAACACTAAATACTTTGAGGATTTTTAGTTAAATATAAAATTGTGTGTTTATGTATTTGCTTAACACATACCTAATATTTTGCTTTGCAGAAAATCTTTGATTCAAGTATCTTTAATTATTTCCAATAAATAAAAAAGTAATTTCTGCTAATATATTATCTAAATCGAATTTAATTAGTTGTTTACTTTAGATGAGGATTCGTTTGACTATAATTCCAATCAGCTTTGACCTCCCAGCCAGTGAGAAATGGATTATTCAAAAATATATATATATATATATATATATATATATATATATATATATATATATATATATATATATATATATATATATATATAATGGATTATTCAAAAGATATATATACATATAATAAAGTAAACAGCGACAATACTGAATATACAGTTAATAAGAATAACATTAACATTTTCAAATAAATCAAATACTCATTAAATATGAGCAGGATGAATTTTCCCTTTGAAACATTATAAAAAAAATTCGCAACTCCATTCAACCAGAACAAGAAAATTAAATTATCTATTATAAAATAATTAAAACACTTAAGCTCATTATCAGCAATGACAATCCACCAGCAAGATCCAAATTATGGAAGACCAACATTATTAATGAATTGATATGCCTCTTAAAGAACTGCCTTATGGATCAAAACAAATTCATAAATAATTATATTGGACATACCACTACATGTTTATCAGGAAGACTTCCATTACATCTCTCAGACTATAGCTCATTTAAGAAACATTTAAACACAAAACAGAAACCCACCAAACTCTGTCTGCAACATACTTGTGAAAAATACAACCATAATAGCTTTATCCACATGTAAAAAAAAGCCTAAAAATAATGGCAGCATTAATAAAAGTGAAAATGCAGCCATAATAGCATTATCTATATGTAAAAGAAAACAATAATAATAAA